ACGTTCACACACAAATACTAATAGGCCCCGGAAATTCCTTGATTGTTTCCTTATTACACAACCAAAAAAAAAAAAAACAATATGTAAAAGCGAAGAATAGAAAGAACTGCCAACCAAAAATCCCCCCCCCCAAAAATAAACTTTTTTAAAATTTTATTTTTCAATTTCTCTTCTCCACCTTTTCTGTTTTTTATTTTTTATATTCTATAAAATTATCTGTTTCCAAAAAAAAAAAGATGGGGTTGTAGGGCTTGAAAATCCCTACAACCCCTTTTTTTTCCCATTATTCTTTTCGGGAAAAATCGGGTTAATTCATGTCAGCGGTGCGGCCTAGGCCAGCTGCGGCCGCGGACATGAATGCGGCCGCCCTCCGAGCTCGACCCTGCGAACGCGTCCACGGGTGTTTCGTAGTGGCCAGCGCCTTGGACTCACAGACTTCTGGAGCAGCACCTCCGACATGGACATCAAGATCAGTATGCAACCTGCTATCCGGATCAGACCTCATCATCAGATCGTGTACCGGACGCAACCTGCTACTGGGACAATCAAGCTGAAGTCGTCGCCATCTGTATCACAGAACTGCTGAAGACTACTTCCTCACCGCGACTTCTGCGATACCCGCCAAGACCTTCCTCAAGGCATTCTTCGCCTGTGACACTTTGTTACAGACCTGAGACGTTGTTTTCCCAGACCTCCTCAAACACCCCAGCACTTGAGCATTGAACAAACAAACAAAAAAAATAATAAATCTCAAACTTGACAACCTACAACCTTGTAGAACACCAATAGGACTGCCCTGTTGCTTGTAGAACCTCAAGAGGATTACCCTGTTACTCGAGCATTGATTCTGTCATCCCTGTGGAACCTAAGTAGGATTACCCTGGTACTTGAGCATTGATTCCCTCACCCCTGTAGAACCTCCATAGGATTACCCTGTTAATTGAACATTGATTCCCTCATCCCTGTAGAACCCCCATAGGATTACCCTGCTACTTGCATTACACCCCCTTTCCTTTTCTGACCAGTGATCGGCCCCATCCCCTTCACAGTTGTCCATTGGGCCTTTGGCAGCCGGGACGTTGCCTTCCAGAGGGAGGGGATAGTGTTACGGACTCAGCCATGGCTCGATCCCTGGTCCGCGGGTCACCACCCACCAGGCTGCTATTCTTTTTTTTTTTTTTCGAGTCTCTGATCTCCGGTTCCTGACTGTTGGCGCCCTCTGCAGTTGGTGCCCGTTCTCAAATCGCGCCTCTGGCACTTTCGGATTTCGATACTTGGCACCATCCGGCATTCTGGCGCCCAGGTTCAGACCTTGATTTTCGGTTCAGCCCCGAGGCAAATTGCACTTCTGCCCTCAGACTCAACTTGAGTCCGGTACTTAAGATCGGACTCAAGCTGAGTTCGGGCATTCAGTTTCCGGCCTCAGTGCTTGTGCTTCAGTGTGACTTGCTGCGACATTGTGTTCAGAACCAAGATTGCGACTATGTCGAGTCATGTCGAGTCTGTGTCGAGTTGAGTGAGTGTGTGTGTG